CCTCCTGCTTGCCACAAAGTGTCTACAATTTTGTCGCAAATAGTCGGCTATCGATGAGCAGAAATCGAGCCTGGCACTCATCTTTTGCTTTAAAGGCAGTTCTGCTTACGAGTACAGTTTTCAAACGTCGATGGAATAATTGATGACTGTGATCTATTCGATCTTTGACGAACTCATTATTACGGCTCTCTGAATGAAGAATGATAATACAATGAACAGAGGACGGTTTCAAAAACAACATGATGAACGATATCAAGAAAAAGAGTAAAAGCACTCTGTGCTGCTCTGCTGGTCACTGCCCAAGCATCTTGTGTAAAGGTATCACCCTAAGGCACGTTTTCCATATACATCATCCTCTTTCTGAAAGAAAAATAATTTTTAACTTCATGCTTGTAACAAGACCTTACATTCTTAAGAGACTCCATTACTCAAACGTTCAAACTGAACGTACGACCATCAGCTAGATCTCTGGGAAATTGTCTAGTTCCATGGTTCAGTTAAATAAGATTTGCGATATGAACAAATGCTGCCATTCATAGGGATGATGGATGCAAACACAATGTTTTGTCATCCAACTTCTCTATTCCCCGTCATTCAAAGCGGCTAAAGGAAATTACTTCCTGTCGATTGCATTTGCTGAAGTAAAGCAACGTTGAAATCTTTCATCGGGTTCACACGTGTAGCTTCGAATTTAGACAGCGTTATGAACGAATTTCGCAACGTCCTCTTCTGAAATGAATGCCGGCTGATTTTAAATCTATCGCGTAGTTAGTAACTAGAGTGTTCGCCATTCAGGCAGAACTGCTTGGAAAACGTGAGGATCTCCTCATCTCTGAGTAACACTGATTCATGGTCTTCATTGCGGACTGTTAGTGAGGTCTGCTTCGATTCTGCTCGAGTGCAACCTATGTCTTATCCGCGAATTCAACAGCGCAAGAAATTTAACACATATTGTTTCAGACCGAGGTTGCAAAAATCGATAGTGCACTGATAGTTTAACTCACAGTTGCTTGAACCCGAGTTCATGCCTTGGTTAGGGTCACTCGCCCTTCTCTCTTCCTTGGCTGAAAAATGGTCACCATTCTGAGGCTAGAAGACAGGAGACTATTCGCTTTAGCTCTGCGATACGAAAACGAAGAGGCGTCAGACGACCGGCATTTTGGTTCGAGTCACAGTTAGCCTAACGCCAGGTGGGACTGCGAATCGCTTTCGCCATTTTGACGCCTGCAGCTTCGTTTGTTCATGAGGCGACTCTGTAAGCGCCTAGAGAGCCAGTAAATCGTGCTACGTTTTCGGCAGGTGAAATTCGTTTATCGCGAGACCGGTGAGTCGACGCCTGTCGCCATCGCCTCTGCAAGGGGAACATATGAACTCCGGTCTGTGCGTTCGTTTCGGAGAAACTCATTTACCTCAATACGCGAGAGCGCAATACCATTTTCGGCTGCCAAACGAAACGAAGGAAGCAGCACATATTTGTTCACATGGCTTTATAATCAATGCATCATGTAGGGATGTACTTGAGTAACTTATCCAGTTGGCGAGTACCACTGAATTTTACTGCTACACACTAACCTGGAAATGGTGCAAATGCCAAACCAGCACATGCGCTTCATGGCTTACCTGTTACAGCCCATGGACAATTCACCATACAATTGGCTTCTACAAATTCATCGATATTTTTGAGAGTTGAAACTGTTTAGATGCTAAATATGTACCACTGTACACATTCAATGTAGTGTCTTAACTCGGACAAGATGAGAGATTATTGAGCAAGGGTTTGCGGGAAATGAGGAAACACATTTTTCCTAAATGGGTGAGCAGACCATCGGACAAACTCAGGAGTTTCCTTGCAAAATACTCTTTGGGGAAATAAACGAGGGCACGTAAAGTTAACTGCACAGTTCAGGTTGGTTGGTTTCCTAATGAATTCATACTTGTAAAGCAACTCTGTATAATCAAGGTAACTCGCACAACTAATAATTTTCTACGGCTAATTAGAATAGCCGTGAGCATAGCTAGGTGTATAAAGCTAACAGAAAATTACACGCCAGATGCAGTAACGACTAAAATGAAAATGTTTGCCTCCAAACATGAAAGATATAGTATATTGCCAGCTAATAAGTATCACATACTCCATAAAAGGAAAGTGCCGCATATAACCTTACCGAGAGTGCTCCCTCTCGCTTTTTTCTTCTTTTCCAATATCTTCATCTTCCATCTTCCATCGCCGCTTCTCCTTTCGGGTCGCGGAGGCAGACGCGTCAGACAGTGCT